GCCTCCCAAGTAGCTGGGACCATAGGTGCCCACCACAATGCCCAGCTATTTTTTGGTTGCAGCCATAATTGTTGTTTGGTGGGTCCGGGCTGGATTCAAACCTGCCACCTTACGTGTATGTGGCTAGCGCCTTAGCCACTTGAGCCACAGGCGCCAAGCCAGCTAAATGATTCTTAAATTTCTGGTAATAATTTCCCAGGTGGCTAATATGGTCTAAGAATTGTTGACATCTATAATTCAAATCCAAAACCATTAAACACATTAGAGGTTCTGGAGCCAGTATGCCTGGGTTCAAATCTAGGCTGTTTCATTTATTAGCTGTCAGTCCTTTAGAAAGTTATTTAACCTCTCTGTCTCAATTTTCTCATGTGGAAAAAGGGATAATTGTACCTGCCACATCAATATATATAAAGCACTGGTACAGTATGTGTACATTGGTACAGTATGTGGCATATTGTGAACTGTGCATATTAGGAGCTACAACTACTACCACCACTGTTACTGCTTAAGTTTCAGAGGCTGCACAACAAACTTAAGACTTCATTATTGGAAAGTGAGATCCAAATACTTCCTTGGTGCCATACCCAAGGAACTTGGATCTCTTAAATTTTGATCCAAAATCATTAAAAGTTTCTGAAGCCTATTGCTCTCAGCAACTAAAAAAGAAAAGGCACTGGGCACAATTCAAGGTACATAGAAGATTTTCTTACCCAGTGACACTAGGCTACTATAGTTCTCCAACATTACATCCTTGTATAAATTCTTCTGATAAGGATCCAGTAGCTGCCATTCCTTTTGGGTGAAGTCCACAGATAAATCTTCAAATGAGAATGATTCCTAAAAGAGTACAATTCTACTAAGTCTGAAGCAGTCATCACTACACAATGTGGGAAAGAAGTACTAGAGCTTAAGCACATTGCTCTCACAAATCATATAAAATACCTATTATGTCTCTGTCTTTGTATATTTTGTGTGACAAAATGCCACTGTGAATTCTCACATCTTTCCATTTGTATAAATGTCAACCTAAATTGTAAACACAGAGAGGTGCTCTAAAAAATACATGATATATACTTGGGAATGGAGTATTGCAATGGGAACATGTGTGCCACAGTAATCTATGTGTGTATTTGGAAAGGTAAAGGAAGACAAAGGTTTTCAAGGAAAAAATGAAGAGAATTACATAATCATTTTGAATAATTAGTCTTGGCTACAAAGATCAACAATAAAGTTGACACCAGTCCAAGGTCGGACAGGTAGTTTTAGGATAGATGTCCTAACAGAAGTATTTTTCACGTAGGGCTGCAATGGCCTTTGTGCAAGGTTATGGTTTTAGCACTCTTTTGTGGTATTTTTTGTTATCAGGCACACAAGGTGAGAATCCTCTCTTTAGGGTATTCCCTGGCTCTATTTGTCAGTTTATTAACATTACTGAATCCACTTGGATGCTGACAACTTTCATATAACACATGAGAACTTTAGGTTGAGTGTGGTAGCTCACATCTGTAATCTTACCACACCGAGAGGCTGAGGTGGGTGGAATGCTGGAGCTCTGGAGCTCAAGACCAGCCTGAGCAAGAGTGAGTCTCTACTAAAAGTAGCTGGGTATTGTGGCAGGCACCTGTGCCAGCTGCTCAGGAGGCTAAAGCAAGAGGTTCACTCAAGTCCAAGAGTCTGAAGCTGCTGTGAGCTATGACACCACAGTACTCTACCTAGGGCAACAGAGAAGAGATAAGGAGGAATGGAGGGAAGGAGGAAACATTTTGACCAACAGAGATAAAAAGACTTAAAAATGAACAGAGCTCAGGACACTGTCAGATGATACCAAAGGATCTACCATGAGTGTCATAGGAGTCCCATAAAGAGGAAAGAGTGAGCATGGTGGAAAAAACATTTCAAGAAATGAAGGCTGGGCACTGTGCCTCATGCCTGTAATCCTAGCACTTAGGAGGCCAAGGCAGGTGGATTGTCTGAGCTCATAGGTTTGAGACCAGCCTGAGCCAGAGTGAGACCCTGTCTCTAAAAAAATAGCCAGGCATCAAGGGTGGTGTCTGTGGCTCAAAGGAGTAGGGCAGTAGCCCCACATGCTGGAGGTGGTGGGTTCAAACCCAGCCCTGGCCAAAAAAAAAAAAAAAACAACTGCAAAAAAATAGCCGGGCATTGTGGTGAATGCCTGTCATCCTAGCTACTCAGGAGACTGAGGCAAGAGAATTGCTTGAGCCAAGAGTGTGAGGTTGCTATAAACTATGATACCACAGCACTGTACCAAGGGTGACAGTGAGACTCTGTCTCAAAAAAAAAAAAAAAAAAGGAAGAAAAAGAAAAAGAAAAGATAGCTGATACTCTCTAAAGTTAGCAAAACATAAGCTCACAGATTTAAGATCAGTAAACCCCAAAGTGGATAAACATAAAGAAATTCAACCTTGTAGCTGAATGAAGACAGTCTTGTTGGGGACTATGCTCTAAACCTGTAAAGTCTGTCTTAGTATCAGAATTAAACTGCAGTACTGTCCTACGATATCAGCTAATGCAGGCCTACAGGAAGATGAGACTGCTCTCTATAATCATTTCCAGTCCACATTGCACTGGAGGTCCTAGCCAGGGTAAGTATAAATATTGAGAGGAAGATGTAAAGCTATAAAATGATATGATTACATATGAAAAAAATCCTACAGGCTCATGCCTATAGCTCAGCAGCTAGGGCGCCAGCCACACACTAGACCTAGTGTGTTTGAATCCACACTAGGGCCTGCCAAACAATGACAACAACAACCAAAAAAAAAAAAATAGCCAGGTATTGTGGCAGGTGCCTGTAGTCCCAGCTACTTGGGAGGCTGAGGCAAGAGAATTGCTTGAGCCCAAGAGTTTGAGGATGCTGTGACCTGTGACAACCATAGCACTCTACTGAGAACAACATAGTGAGACTCTGTCTCAGAAAAAAAAAAAAAAAAAAACTAAAAAGAAAAAAGAAAAAATCCTACAAACTATTAGAATTAATTAATTACAGATATTCTTTGACATCACTCAGGAACTAATGAGCTTGCAGTCTCTTAAGGATGAGTTGCAATGTACAACCTTCAACTTTATCAATGAACTTCTCATATTGTTATATTAACATCCACTGATCTATTACTTTGTTCTCTGAATTTATCTTCTACTCATTAATTTTATAACATTGTGTACTGATCACCTGGAAAGTACTGGCTTAGGTAAAATATTCTCACAAAAAAGATACCTTTAGCAGTTAATTCTGTTAACATTCAATGCAAAAATAATGCAATTTTAACAAACTCTTTTAGAAAAATCAAGAATATGTCTCTTATTTTTTGATACCAGCATAACCTTGATACCAAAACTCAATAAGAATATTATGAGAAAAGGCCAGTTTATTCATAAACATTGATATGAAAGTTCTAAATAATGTTATCAAACTATATTGAATAGTTTGGAATAAAATTTATCAATACTAAGATGGAGTTAATCCCAGAAATTCAAGATTGGTTTAACATTTAAAAAATATTCAAATCCAACATGGTGGCCATCCCTGCAATCCTAGCACTCTGGAAGGCAAAGACATGTGGATTGCTTGAGCTTGGGGGTTTAAGACCAGTCTAAACAAGAGTGAGATCCCATCTCTACTAAAAATAGAAAAATTAGTTAGGCATTGTGGTGGAGGCCTGTAGTCCCTTCCAGACACTTGGGAGGCTGAGGTAAGAGGACCATTTGATCCCAGGAGTTTGAGATTACAATGAGCTATGACACCATAGTACTCTAGCCTGGGACAACACAGTGAGACTCTGTTTCATAAAATAAAAAATTAAAATTTGTAAAAAGGACTAGATTTCGGTAAGAACATAAAAGCATAAAAAAGAACAAGCAGATGGAAAAAATTAGTATACCAAAAATTTAAAAATTAACATCCACTTGTAAAAAAATTTTTTTTGGCAAACTAGGAATTAAATGGAAATTTCTTTTTATTAAAAAAGAAAATTAGGCTCGGCACCTGTGGCTCAAGCGGCTAAGGCGCCAGCCACATACACCTAAGGTGGCGGGTTCGAATCCCCA